GGTGAGAGAGTCCGGGCATGATACCACATACCGATTCGAGAAACGGTGTGCGAATTTGGCGACCATCGACTTGAATGCGTTGTTGTTCAAGGTAAGGAAGGCTTCTCCCTCTCGCGCGCGTGGGGTAACGACTAATGATGGTGCCTCTTGTTTGTCAATAGTACGAACATGATATCGCATCCGCCATTCGAGATGTATTCGGCAACGAACTCGACCTTGACGACGAATTCGATTTGTCGCCCTTCCCCATCACCAAGGAAGCCTTCCAACCGGGAACCCCGCGTGAGAAATCCACGGCAAGGAAACAAACGTCGGAGGAGTGGTTTGCGCGTGCGGTTGCGCGAAAGGAAAAGATCGATCAGTACTTGTGGAACGAGGGTCAAGCTATGTACTTTGACTACGACACCAAGAAGAAGAAGCAGGCGAGGTACGAATCAGTTACCTGCCTCTGGGCGCTTTGGGCCGGATGCGCGAGCGAGTACCAGGCCGAACGGATGGTGTAAGTGGTTCCCCTTTCCGCGCGCGGCCGCGTTCTTCTCTCCGATTGGAAACGTAGCTGAACATCTGATGTACCCTGCCTTGTTATCGACACCAGCCATGAGAGCTTGCACAAGTTCGAGGTCGAAGGCGGCTTAGTTTCCGGTACCGAGGCGTCTCGTGGTCGAATCTCGATCGATCGTCCGAACCGACAGTGGGGTACGTCCTGGAAAGCCCCTTTTTTGATTGTTTCTTCAAAAGTTTATCGGCGCTAATCGTTCTTGCTCGTGTCACCTTTAGACTACCCCTACGGCTGGGCACCTCATCAGATCATGGCGTGGGTCGGCCTCGAGCGATATGGGTTCCAGGACCAATGCCAGCGATTGGCGTATCGATGGATTTATATGATGACGACTGCCTTGTAAGCGCCGCCCGGAGCTACGCTCCCTCGTCCAGTGCAGCCTAGAGCTGACGGTTGACTCCTTCTAGCGTCGACTACAACGGTGTCGTTCCCGAGAAATTCGATGTCGTCAAGCTTTCCCATCTCGTAGACGCCGAATATGGTAACCAGGGTTTGGACTTTAAGATGCTGAACAGAGAAGGTTTCGCTTGGACAAACGGTAGGTTGCTTTCGGGATGACATAGGCCGTGCGATTGACCAACTCTTTGTTGTCTACAGCATCCTTCCAACTCGGTTTGCACTTCTTGTCTACCGGTATGCGAAGAGCTGTCGCAGCATGCACTCCCGTAAGTAGGCTGGCTTATGGTTTGGAGGGTCCCATCATCGTGCTTACGGTTCGTTACTCGCTACAGCCCGAAGTTTACTTCCGTCTCGGTCCCGGAAAAGAACTCGACCCGGAAGTTGAAAAGCTCAAGAAGGAAATGGATCGAAACAGGATCTCATAAACGCATCGCGGTAACCCGACGCGGTCTCACTGATGAACTTTGGTCTATCGCTCCTTCGTCCCTGGATGTTGCCTGCAGACAAACAAGTCATGAAAAGTGTACAACATACAACAATACAACAACACAAATGGGTCCTTAGACTGCAAAGCAATTCAATACAAAATGTCAATCATCAAGTGAACAATCGTCCTCTGCGGCGTGCTTTCCCACAATCTAGTTCTTGTATAGAGTTTTAGTAAAAAGATGGAAAAAACGTTACGCATTTCTGCCTTGTGCCTGGTTCTAGTGATCAACCGATCATGTCATTCGCCGCTTGGCCTATTTCAGGGCTTCGGCGTCCACGCTGCGGGCTTTGCAGCATTACTTCAAGAGAGTGGGTACGGCTCGAGGTGGAAAGTTGGCTTCATAAGCAGCCCTGTGATGGAAAATCAAGTGGCAAATGCATGATATCGCAACGGGTTGGATTAAGTAGAAGGTCTTAAATGTCTAGCGCGAAGTGACTGACATCAGGGCGATCAAAGTAGGCTCGGACCACTTTCGTCCCAAGAAACAAAGACCAAAAGGTTCACCGTTTTCGTGGATGCCTAGCGGAACGGTAGCTGTGGGAAATCTATGAACATAGTAAGGCAGGTGCGACTTGCTTTAGCAGGGCACAATTTGGGATTAACATGTGCTGAACTCACCCTCCAAAGGCACTAAAATTCCTAGCCACGCGATTGATCGGCAGGACAAGAACATCCAGTTGATGATCATCCATGATCCTGCCAATGCCGTCGGTGTCACAAATTCTCTTCGCTATGAAATCCAGTCGTTTCCGAAGAACAATAGCGGGCATGTATTTGAGAATAGCGATCTGACTTAGCAATGGAGGGTACATACTGTTCGCCAAAGCATCGATGAACTCCGCTGCAGCTCTGCCTTTCGTCGCCTCAGCTCGGATGAGCTGTTAGTCTCAACAGACCATGGGGGAATTAGCGTCTTCAGAACCTGATGGCAACACGCCTAGAACTGGAACGAAACCTTACGACGTCTTGTAAGCTTTGTCCAGGCGGTAATTCCAATTCCTTTGTGATACAAAAAACCCATCAGACATTACCATATCGATCAGGTTTCGCTATGTCAACAGAGGCGAGACTCTTACCGGATGAATCAAGTTGAAGCTAGAAAGGAGAAGAAAATAATCCCACAACGTCGAAGTCGCTGGTGAACGGTCTCAAAAGACACATGGCTTCGTTCGGTGCGACTTACTCAATGATGTCTTGCAGGTTATGGACGTCAGTGCTTTTCATCCCACTCAGGTACTTCGCTAGGTCCTCCTTGAAGTCCGTCAGAATGACCGTGAAATAATCTGTCTTTACACGGGTCTTCCACTCTTCGAACGTCGCAATCTCTACCGGGTCGCAAAGAATCGCACCAAGTGATTCCATCTTTCGGATGGCGGCTTCAAAGGCGGGCTTTACCTTGGTGGTCAAATTCTGCTCGTCACAAGCTCTATAAGAGAGCATTTCGAGTTAATGAACACTTTATAAGATGACTTCCACGGGGAATCAAGAGGTAAACGGTACGAACCCAAAACCTATGTCCCTATCGAAGAGAACGGATGACGATGGAATTCCCAGACGTTTCCCTTGAAAGGTGGCATGTGGCATCTTGGTGAAGCGAGTATACACCTCTACTTTTTTTCCTTGGAGTACATGGGCTGTAGGGATTTCAGTCGCGGTGAGTAACGTACAAGGCTCCAGCTTTGCCCTCGATACCTACTAGCCGGATCCTTGGCGTCGTATCCGCTCATACATTCTAGCAAGATGGCAGCGTCGTAGGTTGATTTCATGAGCGGACCTACCGTGTCAAGTCGCGAACTAGCAGGAACTACTCCATGACGAGAAACAAGACCGACAGTCGACCTCACTGTGTATTCTGCGGCTTTTCCAGCGGGCCCTGTCAGGGACCCGCACGTTTCCGTGCGAAGAGCCGCTGGAGCCCATCCCGCAGAAACGGCGATGGCACTGCCGCTTGAGCTACCCTCCGGATCTGCCTTGGGGTATCCTCCGGAAACATACGCGGACTGACCTTGTCCGCCTCTGGCGGACCATCCCATGTGTGCCTGAGAGGATTTGTAGTTGCCAAGCTGAGTCATTGTCGCTTTCCCAAGGATGATGGCGCCAGCTGCACGCAACTTGGCGATGACGGTTGCGTCTTCTGCCGGGATAGAGTTCACAAGGGCGTAACTACCAGCGGTAGTGAGCATGCCTGTTGCGGGTATTAAACAACAAGAGTTGAAAATATCATCGGACAAAGGCTTCTTACTTACCCAACTTTGGCTCTGTTCCGATGCTGTCTTTCACCAACAGTGGTATTCCATGAAGCTTGCCCATCAGTTTCTATGCAGACAAGATATCAGTTCCGACAGGATAGACTCGCTTCCCTAAAGTCTACTCACTCCCTTGTTTCTCATCTCATCTAATGAGCGAGCTATGGCGAGCAGGTCATCGGTGGGCGCAGTTTCCATTACTGCGCGGAGCTCGAGACCTTTCCTGTTGTTTGCCTCAATACGAGCCAGGTATTCCTTGACCATCTGCACGGTGGTGATTGTTCCGTTGCTTAGGCATTCTTGCAGATCCTTGATAGTCGCAGTCAACAGGTCAATGGCGTGCGGCTTGCCAGTAAGGGGAACTTCCTTGGCTTCTGGCGACATTGCGACGGGAAATGTCCGGAAGGAGGTGGTGTCAAGACTGGGAAGAAGCAGCGGTTAAGGTGGTTTGTCAGGGAGGACAGCGACCACTAAACTAGATATGGAGTTCGCAGTTTCGTTGTCTCTAGCAGTGAATGAGGTATCACTTCGGTTGATCAACAACTGTTGCTGTCAACGGAGAGCCCTACTTATAGGCATGTCAGACTTTGCAATATAGCCAAAGGAGACGAAGCGAACAAAGGAACATCAGCAGATTCAAGCGTGCCATGTCGCAGGTGGCTTCCTCCAATCAGCGCCTCAGGATACCCTTTGCAGTTGACTTTTTCAATGGCTTGAAGAACCAAAAGTCCTTTCTTCTTGGGTTGGAAAAGTCGGGTCAAAGCAACGATATGCGGATCTGTTTTCTGGTGCCATGGTGCAGGACCCACACCGATTGATGTTGCTCTCGATATTTCGCCAAGGGTCCTTCCTCTTGCTTGTTCGTTCATCTATTTGCAGATATGTTTACTGGGATCATTCGCAACGCTTTGATGAGGAGTTTATTTATGAGTCCACGAAAATCATACGGTACTCATCCCTACATCGTCAAGTTTTAGGCTATCCGCAGAAATCGAAGGAGTACACCGAAAGATACAAGAAGAAGCCTATCGGCTTCGTTCTTCGGTCGCGACTCGGCAACGTATGCTTACCAACGAACACGCCCGATGTTCCCTCTTGCTTTAGTCTCAAAGCGACCTCTGTTCCAATTCTTCAGTCCTGTTTCAGCGAATGTTTTCAGGATCAATTCCATGAATCTTACGGTTGATTCCACATCCTACGACCGTAAGCATGTCTTCAAACTGATCGATTTGAAAGGTGATCCAGTTGCGCCACACGCCTGACGAATCCGTTTGTATAAAATCAAAAAGGTCGCTAACATCCAAATGGCGACTTGATGTAGTGGTTATCATGCCTTCTTCACATTTCATATGTTCACACGGAGGATGTCGTGAGTTCGATCCTCACAGTTGTCATCTTTTTGCGGTTTCTTCTTGGGGCTCTTGAACCGCTTATGGTTTTCCACAGTGGCTATCCGTGCGTACTGTATCGGACAAAACCTTAACACAGCGCAGCTACAGAATTTCTTGCGTTACATATAGGCCAGAGTCGGTCAAGAGTTGAATACACGACTGCATGAGTTCATGGGATGTAGCCATCTTGATTCGCGAGCTTTACGATAGACGAGCTCATTTCGGCAATGTGGATAAGATAAGATTGGATATGAATGTAGAAGCTTCCAGATGCGGCAAACCTGGGCCCATAACCTGTTGGATCAATAAGTTTATGATGCTTGACCAAACAGGTGTATCGGGTCTGAAGACCCTCCTATAAACCTGAGCCTTATTCAGGAGCACAGGTGCCGCCAGCAATAGGCTGAGCTACAGGAAGTTTCGACAAGCACTAACACGGACTTCATCCTACAAACTCCGTCCTAAGAAGCTAACTTCCCTACAACAAGGATGATACCAGGGGGATCGGAATCTCCGTCAGGGTTACCTCTTTTGATTGATAGGTGTGAGACGGAGCATCTCTGGGGACCAAGTCTAGCCCTTGACTTGAGGAATGACAGATCCCCATCGAACGCCGTCGATCATTCATGCTTATATGAATACAACAAGTCTACGGCCCAATTACAAAACGACTGTCCCCCTGGAAAACGTTCTCATATCATCCATCGTCCCTGCTCGGTACCGCACCACCGGTGTAACACAGTTTCGGTATCGTCTGATGTCCAAGCGATGGTATAACACGGCGTCCGCCCATTGACAAGGCATCGCAGCTCGGAGTTGCTCGAACGAAGTGAGCGGCATCGTATGTGTGCAAGGGGTAAAGACCAACTCGCACGTTTCGAGGAATTTGAGCTGCTCTGCTAATCGACGAACAAAGCTTGCCGCCTCGTGCGCAACTAGAATGGTGTCATGTTCGACCGACTTGGTCTGAAGTACGGCTGGTGTGCAGACAGCGTGGATTTGGAGTACTCGAAGATTCACCAGCTGACGGAGGGACGGCATCAGCTAACCAAAGGTAATGAAAGAAGACGCGTACCATAGGTTAGCTAGTATTCATCATATTGTGTCAGTGTATCGAATTGCAGTTGACAGCGATTCACCTCGTTGATAAAGCAATGCTTGTCGAGTTGCACTAACAAATCTAATCGCAATTCTTCAAGTGTATCCGCTGATCCACCAGGCGAGTCAGACGGGGGCTTGAAGTCTAGCGTCATGTGCATCTTGGTAACATCGCTGGTTGGTCGTGAAGCTGACAGTAAAGATAGGCCTAAATAAGGAACAGTCATGCAGTCATGTCGCTTCATTGGATACTGGTTTGGGCCATCATCGCTCAATTCGATGACGAATCGTCGGAGGCAATCCCGAAGCAGAAGAGCTCCCGAAGCCGCCGGTGCGCAGAAGGTCTTAGAGAGCAGTTTACGGTCCAGCGTACAAACATTTGAAGCGACCCATGCCAGTCAAGAGTGCCGATGGGGGAGGTTCTGAGCAGTAGCTGCTCGTGGATAAACGGGGTGGATCCCTCCTGCGTTCCAGAAGCAGTGGAGACAGCTATTCTTCCACACCGCATGATGTACATTCCCTGAGCATAACCATAACCTAATTATCGTCCCATTACAATATCCCCGCATCTCCCAACATCGCTGCTCTATGTCTCTCTTGACTCTCTTGACCGGTTCGTCCTGAGCACATCGTATGCTTATAGGATAACACATTTGCAGCCGCCCCCGTGCGAGTCGTCCGCCTTTGATCTCGCAGGCTTTGGCGTGCCAATTCCATTGCCGACTGCTCCGCCAGCGCCTCCTGCGGATGTCATGGCGCCGTTCTGGGGCGGATATGTTTCCTGTCATAGCGAGATAGGGGTGAGTTAGAGATTGGAAGGATGGGAAAAGGGAGCTGAAAATAGACTTGCCTTGTTGTATCGTCTAATGGCTCGAACCAGCTCCATGAAGACCTCGTCGACATTGATGCGTTGTTTGGCTGATGTTTCAATGCACACAGCTCCGAATTGCTTTGCTATGTTTACGCCCTCTATTGACATTGACACCGCGATGAGCAATTGTCCACATCTGTGACATATGCAACGTACCTTGAACATCCACCTGACGGTCATAGTCCAAATCACACTTGTTTGCAACAACTACCACAGGAAAATAATCCTTGTCTTTAACCTACAAAGGAAAGCTTGGTGAGCTGTATCCCTGGGCACAGCATCCGACGGATCCCACGTACCCTCAGAATCTGTTGATGAAATACGGAAATCTCATCAAAGGATGGTCTTGATGTGATGCTGTACACCAGCAGGAACCCTTCCCCCGTACGCACTGCACCACGACAGATTAGTTACTCATCACATACAAGATAAAATGGACTTACTGTACTGCTCACGCATTGCCCCATACTCCTCCTGCCCAGCAGTGTCCAGCACGTCCAACAATGCTACCTCTTCATCAATGAAACATTGCTTCCTATACGAGTCCTCTGTGATCGAGCAGATTAGTGTGCATGTAAATCGTCTCGAAACAAATCCGACTTACCAATCGTAGGGTCATATCTTTGTGGCATCGGAAAAGAAGTGGGAGGTCTACATGAGCGTCCGGCTTGCTGTAATAATTACTCTCACTTACTCGTCCACAAACTATGGCAAAGACCGGAGAATCAGACCACGGCTGTCGCACAAGGAGGAAAGCGACTTACATGTGACTGGATGAACTGGATTGTCAGGGCCGACTTGCCCACACCACCACCTCCCACTACCACCAGCTTATATTCTCGCAGAAACTGTGCCTGCGTGATAACACAATGAGCATAGAGTCTAGTCGGATGAGCGTGACAAGCGTACCTTAGACATCTCGCGTTCTCTGCTGGTCGTTTAACACTGACTTTATACTACGGTGTATCGAATCTAATCGCTCTGACAATCACAACTCCTCTGATCCAGACCGCTCAACCTATAAAAGTGAGCGAAACAAAGTCCAAGATTCCTGGGCTGACAGCTGACCTCCGAAAACTGAAAGGGCGCTTTGAAAGCCGTTGTTGAATGTGCTCGGGAATCAAGGGGTCGGGCAGCGGTCGGGCTGCTCGGTAGATGGTTTATTGGTCGCAATCGAGTAGGTTCACGTAAAGGATGGCGATGGTAGCAGTAGCTCTTGCTTCTTTATCTGCAGTCTCGCTGTCGGGACCACAAGGACAGCCAAAGGAACAGTGAAGCGTGGTTTACCGTTACTGATCAGACCGCTGCATCAAAGGGATACGGTGACGGAATGCAGCTGATGTGCCGTGTGTCGCTCGCTCGAGAGGGTACCAAAGAGCAAGATGAATGGACGTCCGTGTTAGGGTCTAGATGTTGGAGAAAGGAGAATAATAACCTGGTCCCTAGCGTGCCCGATTGTTCCTTGTTTCCGCGTAAACACGAGGAACGAATATCCGTGCTTGCTGTGGTAGCGTGGTAGCTGGTGCGGGGATTAGGGTTGATTGTTGTTCCACTTGAATCGTAGGACTGGAGTATTAGAGCAAGCTGTCAAGGTTATCCATGCGGTATACCTAGAGGCGTCCTCCTACAACAGAGAAGTATCGAAGGAATGACGAATGATAATTGGTAAACAAATGCGCGGTACACCGCCGAGCACCGGACGGCAGCTAGGACAACAGGCTGCGGCGAGGCACGAATAGACTTTTCAGCTTGTTTCGATGCGGCGGATTGCATGTTTAGTATTGTGTATGTCCATCTAGAATATGTTTTGGCACCCTTGGAAAGTCGCCAGTGTCTGTATAGAGTGGATAATAGTGGAACATGGCTCTTCGAACATTGCTATGGCGACCGACCCGGTCATCTGAATTTTGAATTTTGCGGCTTGTCAATATATAAGAAGAAATTTTTCGAGCTTAAGTCGGCGGCTTGATGTAGTGGTTATCATGTTTGCTTTACATTACGAAGTGTAGTGAGACGCAAAATGTCGTGAGTTCGACCCTCACAGCTGTCAACCTTTTGCCTCCGTGCTGGACTGATGTCCATTCGCCCCTTCCGTTCTTGTGGGGTAAGCTATCGGATAACCCGCTGCCTTGAATCCAACAGTTCAATGCTTGGAAAAATAGCGAGTCGTTCAGGCGCCAAAGGTCAGGGATGGTGATGGCTTGGCAACCACGCACGCAACCTTACAGACTGTCGATTCTTATTACATACATAAAAAACACGATTTCCTTGAACAACGCAAGACGATATCCTTAAATCCTAACTATCATTTTCTGCACCACGATGCGCAAAAGAATGCCGTCAATGTGGTCGCTGTAATACAACAGCATGAAGGGGAAAGGGTTATAAGATCATCACTTGTCGGAGCTGAAGTGGCAATGTGCACGAAAGGGCATCAGCTATTATGTTACGCAGGATCTTCACGTAAATACGTTAAGCTTACCGCCGTGGATCTACAACAAATAACCGGTCGGACATCAGTTCAACTGTAGCTAATGAAGAAGGAGCATCGTTCAACTTACATGACGATGCTGTATCCCAGTCCAGTATAGTAAAACATCGGGCGAATGGCGAAGTGACAAGGGTTCATAGGGATAAAGTCGGACAGGAAGATGGAAGCGGTGAACGTCGGTAGGTGAAATCGAAGCAAAGGAACGATGGGGGGATCATCAGGATACACAAAAGCGAAAGCGAGTCATGTCAGACCAAGAGCTTTAGAAAATGGCAAGATCGCGAAGCTGGGTTCGCAAGATGGTGCTGTAGGGGAAGGTTTGATGGGTGAGAATCATAGCACTTGATGCCATGGTCTCGATGGTGCTCGAAGGGACATGAAATGAAACTTACTCTGTGTGTGCGAAAGAGCCAGATAAAGGGACACAAACGTTAGCGATTGCTCAAGGTGTAAGCCCCGTAAGTTGTCACGTACCTTGCACCGCTACCATCACTACTTTCAACATTGCAGTATCTGTCGCATTTGTAAAACTGATCCAGGTATCATCGAGCGGGTTAGTGAAAGTCGCCATGACTGGACAAAGTCTGACACAGAGAAGACGTACTGTGTGTATATTTCTTTGGAAGTACTTCGATTGAGTCCGACAAATTTATTCCTAAAGTACTCCCTCCCAGCCTCATATCCTGCTGGACCAGAGGGTCCATCGTAGTCTTGGAAGTAATCTGCTATTTGCGAGTTTGGGTTCTCCAATTGTTCTCGGAAAACATCGTCTTTATTCAGGAAAAGAATCTAACCACCACGCGACGGATGTAAGTCACACAACAAGCGAGAGATGTGTCTTGCTGATTTACCATGCTTGTCTTGACAAACCATTGAGAATTACAGATTGAGTCAAACAGCATTAATGCTTCATTCATTTGGTTCTGAAAGCACAAAAGGATCGGTTCACACATTCAGCGTGTGCGCAAGGTGCAACAGGAATCATCCGACTCACGGAATCCTTGTCTTCGACGAGTGATGAGTTGTATCCCGACAAGGCAACAAGGAAAAGGACCGCTGTCACATTCTCGAAACAGGATACCCACTGAAGAATAATAATGGTTAGCGAGTGGCCTCGAGTGCAAAGGCAAGAGCTTACTTTTCTTCTCTCAGATCGCTGTCCACCGACGTCAAACAGCCTGCACATAGTTCTCTTCAATCAGGGTTTATTCTCGCATGAGAAGCGCTCCGAGTTACTTACGAGTATGTTAAATCACCTTCGGTGAATCTAGTCTCTGATATTCCCGTCGTCTTGACCCGGATCCGAAGGATATCCTATAATCGCTAAACCGATCAACATCCGTGCAACACGGCTAGCAATCCCGCAAAGCCACGAACCTGATGCGACGGTCTAAAGTCGTTCGTCCACAGCCGATTCAGCTGTGAGTAAAAGCTATTACAGGAGCAATGATCCAATTCAGCCACTGTTACCCGGAATCGTGGAGGAAAGGGACGTACTATGGTAGATTTTCTGGCAATGCATATTCGTTGCCCCTCGAATAGGCAAGCTGAACGCCCGGATCGCGCCATAAAAGCTCCAGTGGCTCCCGGTATTCAAGCGGGAAAGCTTGACCTTCCCTAATCTCTGGCGCATCATCCACAAGGGCGATGAATTTCTGTACCAGATAACGGAAAGATACGCCGCACAAGCGTTTATTCAGTGTGCTTTTTCGATGTTCTGGAACGCACTGTGCCTTACCCTATTCGATGAGAGGACACTCATTTCCCACTCGTCCATGGCGTCGATAATGAGCTTCATTCCCTGAACGATATTATCAAAAACAAGCTGCCTGTAATCTACAAGCAGTACATGCCGAGCAAGCAGTCGGATCAGCAAAGTGTCTCGCTCACGTAACTACTGCTCAGAGCGTCAAACGGACTTACATTCGATTTCTTCCGGCATGAAAGTCACGTCGTGGATCAGCCTCATCTGTTTGAGTACCGTTGATTTGCCACTGGCTCCAGCACCAAGGAGGAGCAGCTTGATATGTCTTGCAGCTCTTCTCTCGTCCTGAACGCGGCATCAAGGTCAGGTATTTCTTGACCATACGAGAGATTGAGTGTGGTGCAAAAGCAGGGCACTGTACGTACCTCCTTGATCAACTTGTCCAGTTCACGACTCCTACGCTGGTCCACATCGTCACCGTGACTCCCAGAAGACATGCATGAACCCATCTTGGCTTATTCCGGAATGTTTGCAGGCTGAAGGAGCGATTGTTCTGCCCGCGGTGGATGGCCGTTTCTTGTTCCCTTAATCGTTACGAAGATTGGATGGAATGCCTGTTTAAAGATCGCAAAGCGAGTCCTTTCTTTCCGGCGCGTCGCCGGTGGTTGTGACAGCAGGTATACTATCAATAGTATCGGAATCTTAACCTGTTCGACAGCTGACTCTATTGATGAAGCAAACTGGCAGCTGGGAGGAACCGAGCGGGACGGCGATATTAGGCGGTAAATATATGTTGCAATGGAGCGTGTCGAAAGGCAGGAGAAATCCAAGCGAAAAGTGAATGTTTGATGGAGCAGCAAATGGAAGGAATCCGAGGGAGAAGGCGCAGAAACGTCAGTGACACGTGGACGGGATGCATTCTGCAGATCTTGAGATCAAGCTGATGAAGCTTGCAAGGACGATGGAATGGGTTTAAAGCTCACTTACGATGATGTCGATACCAGGAACTGCGGAGCGCGGTGCTTTCCTATAGCTGTTGCTCTATCGACTCAATTGATCTCCGAGGTGGATTCTTGACTAGTGTCCGCAAGATATCGACGAGTCCCGCACCTTTGTTGCTTGGCGGCTCAGTCTATCGAGTGGCTGTGTGGTTCGTCAGTTGCTGGTCGCAGATTGTCGAACAGCTTGTCGGACTGCGTTATTACGGTCCACGTTCGAAGCTCTGTACGCACGTAGGCAGTCTTCTCAGGGCCAGTGGTCTGTGAATAGCACGTCTGTGTCCAGCTGTTGTCGACGTATCAATCAAGCACTGCAAATCGCAGCTGTCCAAAGAGGTGTATATACGAGTAATCCTTGGTATTCCCGGACAAGGACGAATGGAAGACCCAACGACCCCTATCCAGTTGAACATCGGTTGCATTGTCTATGGGCGCCAAAGGAGTCTGGCGGGGAACAAAAGACTCGCTCGCAGGAGACAATAGAAAGTTGATGAAGCCGTTGATAGACTTTCTATGTAGCGAGGGGGCTTGATTCCGCGCTCACCGCCCTCCACCCGATCCAAGGCAGACACTTCTTCAGGTCTTCAGGAGGTTCCTGTCAAGTGTTCCAGCGCGGGGTCTTCACAGTTCCGGTTTCTCGACGCGACGTTCCTGCTCGTGCAAGTCCCGTTAGCCTTACACGCAAGGTAGATAATCCCCGTATTATCAGAAATAGCAACCAGCTCAGCATCCCAGCATCCCTGATGACGAAACAAACCAAGTGCCGCCGCGGATGCAACGCGTCGGCGTGGACTTGTCGTACCGATTGCAATGGAAATTCGTCCACAGTAGTCCTAGAGCTAGCTCATAGGTTGACTGACGCTTCGGCCTCTTTGATAGACGTTAAAAGCATCCCCCTACTCATTGAGCATCCCGGCAATGCCCATCCATTTCCTCGGCTCCCTCGCCGAGACCACCTCGATCTCATTGCCTTCCGTTGCGTATGTGACATGTTTTGTGGGCCTGCTACTGGTGTTCAAGACAGCATGGATTGAAGGGAGGAAGTGCACGTGGGAGAGGGATTGGGCAGGAAAGTTCCTGATCGTGATAGTGAGGATATTTTCCCGCTGACGACCAGCGGCGAGACTGTTTCAGGTGCGACGAGAAGCTTATGCATGAACACCCAATAGGCTCCTCCTAGTCCGCTAGTCTATGCGTTGCTGGATCACCTGGTCAATCTACCTCATCCTCCTCAAGTCCTCTACTTGCCGCCGATTCCATCACCGCTGCCGCAAGAACTGCTTACGATCCTACACGCCATCCGTCTCTCAGCCGCTAGCAAAACCGCAGGCGTCATACCTGTATCGCCTGTCGAGCCAAACCACGACGCCGATACCGTTACAGAAGGGCAGGAATCCTCCATTCCCTCTGCGTCCCTACACTGCGACCCACTACCACGCGATCCCGCTGCGATCAAAGAGTTTATGCGAAGATGGGCGATTAAACCTCCTGGCACAGCAGACGACGGACGGAGGATAGATGGGATTGTATGGGCGGACGAGTGGAGCGTCGAGTCCCCCTGGAAGATATTCCGGACGAGTAGAAAAACACAGGACGGTCTAGGCGATACGTGGGCGGGTGTTCGCTCCCCCGGCTCCAACGAACCGCCACAGAGCTCCGCCCAACCTCCCAAGTGGACGGCTGAAGAAGCCAAGTTTTACTTTTTGAACAGTATGCTGCCATTCCTGCTTAAAGCGCCCATGGAACGCTCCATCCGCCTCGTCAACGTTCTTGGACCTTTCTACTCTGCTGCTGTACCTTTGATAGGCAGCTCTACCGAAGAACGAGGAAAGGCCTCGGACCAGCTGCTCAGCCCG